GTGAGGTTGCTTCTCGAGCAAAGCTGACCTCCTTGCATCACATAATAATTACAATCTTGCAACCTTGCTAACATGTTTCTCCACAATCTATCAATGTATCGATCTGTATCTATCTATCTATCTATATATATATATATATATATATATATATATATATATATATACGAGCAGTAGAGCCCGGCGTTGCCCGGGGATGTGACAGTAAGAGATAGATCAAGTATCGGCCATCATAAAGACTGAAAAATAAAATTGACAAAGATTATTGTTTAAGGTTGACGGACACGCATGTCTTAATTAGTTTTTTTTTTTTTTTTTTCAAACCCAAACTCAAACAAAAACATTGTTTTCAATCGTTATGAGTCTATCGATTGAATAGAATTTTATTATAAACAATTGTCTTGTAAATGGAATTTTTAAAGCATTCTGAATGTAAGAATAGAGAAAAAAATGTGTAAGACAATAAGAAACACTGCCTGCCCCCAAAAAGGGAAGTTTTGTTGAATTCGGTTGAAAAGGAACACATACACACACACAAACAACCAACCTGGGTTTTATAAGTATAACTCGATAACTCGATATTAATAAGTATAACTCGATATGAGTTGTCCCCCTTTCAGTAATGCCTCTTAATCGTGTTTTCAAATTGATTTCGTGCAAAAACAATTGTGTTTTTCCAATTTTTGGCGCTGTCAGAAACACCGCAAGGTAATTTTACGTAGTCCTGTGAAGTTTTGTTGAAATCGGTTGAAAAATGTAGATCCAATATATAAACGTACAGACAGACACACACACACAACCTGGGTTTTATAATAAGTATGATATATATATATATAACGAGTATAAGAGCAAAATTGTCCAAATCGTGCAACAGCAAAGTTGCCAAATGCTAAATAAAACTTCGAACCGTTGTATGATTAAATGTATCTTACTGGAATGCACCGAGGTTTTTTGTATCATTATTGTCCTCTACTTTGAACAATTAGAATGTAAAAAAAATATTAAACATGAAGGAAGCACTAATAGTAAAAAAAGAAAAGCCAACTCTCAGTAACATTAACTATGAACACAGCCAAATGTGCTGACCGTGTTCAGGAAATATAGTGTAAATTAAGCAATTAAAGCGGTATTTTCTGGTTTACATGAGTTTTAATTACACCTGCCTAATAATTTGGAACAGTTATGATTTGAGTAAATTAGGTAAATGACCATAGTTTCGGTGTATTTTTGCAGAACTTTACACTTGTAACAAGGTACGCGCATATGGCTATTGCAATAATTCTGTGAAAATTTCGTTAAATTCGAACGTGTATATATTGTACAAAATGGAAAATTGTCACCTCGTTAATAATTAGTTACACGATGTAAATATAGCTGGCGATCAACACCAATCGACGAAGTCTCTTTCTTGATTCTATATATGTATGTATCTATTATAAGTAAGTCATAAAGTATATATATATATATATATATATATATATATATATATATATATATATATATATATATATAACCCCAGACACAGAAACACACAGCATACACACATAATGGTCAGAATAAACTAGTCGGACTACACACACAAATATCTATGGAGAACGAATATATATACACATACTGACAAAAGCAAACAGATTAGACAAACCACAAGCGCACACACGAATCCTACACAACATAGGAAGTGTTTGTACATATATATATATATATATATATATATATATATATATATATATACTAATTCCTTATAATTAAATAATATATATGAATGGAGAAGGAATATGTATGCACATACTAGCAAAATCACACCCGCACACACAATGCACAAAAATGGAAATAGTGTTAAATAGATACAGGGGTCACAAAAAGATAGGAACAAAGACCCCCTTCCTGAACCCTTTCTCCATCAATCTTTATTGTTTTATTACACCTTAAGCAGAAGAATATTTTCTCCACAAGTCCAACAGAAATCGACAATAAAATACGACAATGGTTAAACATAAGGAAAATTAAATTCTTTTTAAGCAAAATTGATTTCTTTTAATAAAATGTGGAAATAACCGCTCTTTGCCTGATGAATGTCGCAAGACGGAAACACGTGTAGCAAAAATATGGGAAATAAAATATAATTAAACGATTCACATGATAACCATGAACATATGCGGCTTCTCTCCGAAATATAAATGTTTCTCTCGATGGAACAATTATAACATCTCCCCTTTATTTTTATATATATATATATATATATATATATATACATATATATATATAACTCGCAGACCCTACTGTTGCGCAATGCCTCAAATCCAGATCGAAACACAACCGGTTTGTTGGTAGTCAGAGCTTCTACCACTGAGCCATCTTTTCACGAGTGGACGAGTCGGACAAATCTTGCAGATATTTTGCAAACGCCAAGCTGCCATAGTGCTCTATTCATTTTACTGAAGACCTTCACATTTATACAGGTGACAATTTGACCGTTGTTTTTAGAACTAGCTTGTCATTCAACAGTGCTAAATTGAAAATATATTTTAAAGAGACAGTGCTGTTTCGCAGCTCTTCAGCGCGACTAGACCACCGAGTGCCTCAAGTCCGAATCGAGACCCAACTGATTTGGTGTTAGTCAGAGCTTCTACTACTGAATATATATATATATATATATATATATATATATATATATGTGTGTGTGTGTGTGTGTGTGTGTGTGTGTGTGTGTGTGTGTGTGTGAAAAAGTGTATATAAATAAATATATATATGTATAACTATTTATATATTATATGCGCGGTACTTATTAGAAAGCGCTCAATATCAGAGATAGAGCTAACATATTTGGTTGGATAGATGTGAGTTTCACATCTATCCAAAATCTATATATATATATATATATATGTAGAAATTTTGAAAAACAAACAAAATCCATAAATGTAGTTAAAATGAAAAAAATTGTCGACGTCGACGTCAGACGTTTCGGTTTTAATAAACCATTTTCAAACGACAAAATTCATTAAAATAAAATTCAGTTCAATATGGCGAAAACGATGGACATAAAAACACAAAAATCTTATCCAAATATTAAAACAGATAACTGAAAATTTTAAAAAATCAGTTTTCCGTTTTACATTTGCGACGCTCCCATAACGTATTCCAAAAGTTCGTGATTAACTTTAAAAATTCCTGTATTTTGTCTTGAAAATGGTTATTAAACCGACTACGTTAAACGAAGACAATTTTTAAACTACATTTTCAGATTTTTGTTTGTTTTTCAAAATTTCTACATTCTGTCGGATTTTATCCATTTACACTTGCTTATATATATATATATATATATATATATATATATATATATATATATATATATATATATATATATATAAGTCATAAGTAATTTAATCTTAATATGACGAATGCAGTCTCGAACTCGTTATGGATACGCCTATAATTCCTCATTGCAACAAATCGAGGGATTGAAAATGCATTTCCATCATATTACGTTATGTTCATGTAAAGTAATAAGGATACGGGGACGTCTACAGAAATGTGTAGTATTTATGCTGAAGAAGTCACAACTAACTAGCAAGTAGAAAATTACTTTGTTATGGAGAAATTCGCTGGAAGATAAAATCTGTCCGGGGCATTCCTCAAATGTTGATAGTCAAGTTATTCCTGGATAAGATACTTAGGGTTAACAAAACTGTTAAGCATACAATAATCTACTAAATGCCGTCACAGATCAGGAAATTCATCAAAGCTTTGGAAACTAATACAGCTGTAAATAATTACTGTATTTTAAGTTTGATTTTCATTTGGCGCCAACACAACTGCGGCCTTTTGCCTGACTAAGTCCGTAATTTAAACTCCTGAGATATAAACAGATTTAAAAGAAGAATTCTCAGATTGAAAACTAAAGTCAAACTCAAGAAGACATCTTTGTTTTTCTTTTTCTTTTTTCTTTTTTATTCGACAAAAATTCTTTTGTTTCCTTGTCCCAATAGAAATATTATTGGACATTATTTTCTAAACAATGGAACCATTGATTCGCAGACAAAACAAAAATAGATCAGAGAAAAAAACATATAAATATATTTACGAAGAACAGCGGAATCAAATTAAAAAAAAATTGATGTAAAGGACAATTTAATTTCGAATAAGCTTTTAATTGCATTTTTTTGTTTCGTTATGTTTTACCAATTCACTTGTGATGTCTTTATTTACAGATTTTTTTTTTCAGCCATGACCAGTCAATGAGAGAAATTACTTAAAACAATGAAAGCTATATGAGACAGATTGAGAGCAAAGGATAGTCAATCTAAACATCGTAACGTCGGCCTCGAAATAAAGAGAACTTTTAAGTCGAACGACCGCAATACTTTTGTTGACAGGTCGTCGTAATTTACAAGTAAATCTTACACTCACTTGAGACTTAGTCACTAATTTTTTTAAATTTAATTAACCCTAACAGAAAGAAGAAAGAAAAAAAGAAAGAAAAAAGAAAGATTAAAGCAATTTAATTAACCCTAACAGAAAAAATGTAAGAAAAAAAAATACAAAAAAACGTTTATTGAATTATTTGTTTTTTTTCTTTCTTTTTCCTTTTTTTTTTTGTAATATATTGACATACACAGACGGAAAAGCAACAATTTAGTTTTGCTCTAATCTTGAAAACTTTTATCTAATTGTTATTTTTTTTCTTTCTCATAGCATTCTTTATTTTTCTGTTTTATTCGTTAAGATTGCTCGGTAGGCTTTCCGGCCATCCTCAGGTGTTTATCTCATGAGGAAAACTTCAAACTTTATATTCAAATTCCACTTGCTTATTGATCGGTCAACAAAAATTGTCTAGTAATTTCGAATACATTTACAACTAAAATTAAGTCGCCTAATATTAAGTAATAAAAACTATATATAAAAAATGGAATGCTGTGTCTACGAATGTAAGTCGACCGAAACGTAAGGAATTAAATAACAAAAATGAAGATAGTAGTCATAATTATTAGGCATTTAATGAAAACTTGATAGATAGATAGATAGATACTGAACAGGAATGGATAGATCGATATTGAAAAGTCTGAGAAAGATAGATATTGAACAGGTTGAGATAGATAGATAGATAGATAGATAGATAGATAGATAGATAGATAGATAGATAGATACTGATATCTTTTGAATAGGAGTAGATGTTTATCCTTTGCTTCCTATTTAGGATTCTTTTTCCAGTTACTTCTAAAATTTAATTCTCTTTCACTCCCAGTAACTCCTTGCGTCGCAATGTCATTATCGCCTTGTTTGTCGTAAATTTATTTTTAAAAAATACGTACATATATACACATACATATATACACATTGACAGGAATAGATAGATAGAACAAGTTGAGATAGATAAATACGCACAGACTACGATAGATAGATAGATAGATAGATAGATGAATAGATAGATAGATAGATAGATAGATAGATAGATATTGAATGAGCTCTGATAGATAGATAGATAGATAGATAGATAGATAGATAGATATAAAAAAGAAACAGGTTGAGATAAATAGATAGAAACAGACGAGATAGATCGATAGATATGCAACATGTGTATAGCAGATTTTACAAATATGGGAACATATTGAAGTATTTTTAGAAAGTTGAACTCATGTCTACCTTGAGAAATTGAAAGAAAAATTATTATTCGAAATCCCTGTCTTACGTGAACTCAAGCGCCAACGATTAACCCCCGAGGAAAACTCAATTATGTTTTGATCGACAAGCAGACATCGATAAATGGAACGCATTAAAATGACGTTATATTTGAGAGGAAAACGACTACTTTCCATTAGTCGGACGGCTTACGTCACGATAGGCTCGTATTTTTGTACTTATGACTGTTGCAAAGAGACGATGATTATTTTTAAACAGAGTTCGACCGCCTGGCTTTTCATTTTTTACGTAATTTGAGTTGTATGGAGGCTAGCAAAAGGGTCAGTCCAACATGGAAATTACAAATTAGAGATAGCGAAAATAAACAGGTACAACAATTTAAATATCACAGACACACACACACACACACATATATATATATATATATATATATATATATATATATATATATATATATATATATATATATATATATGATGATATTTGCGTCAAAATAGATTTATTATTACAGAATAATGGAATAATGTTATAAGATCTACGGGAAGAATTAGTAAGTTTTAAACATAGTGGAGTCTAAAAGGACATTTGTACTTAGAAAGAATCATGGATTGAAAAATAGCGACAATGTTCAAATGGGTGTGTGTGTGTGTGCGTGTGTGTGTGTGTGTGTTTGTATTTTTTGTTTCAACCTTTCGAAGTAAAGTCTGATGATCCGCAGTCCTTTAAAAGGGCTGTGATGAAATAATTTATTACATGGAACCTTAAAGTAGTCTGTTTTTTATTTAAATTATTTGCTCTGGATTTACATTGAGCTCTCTGGATTTTATCCTCCTTGGGTTTGCCCATACGGATTACCTAGTTTTCATAAATTATATATATATATATATATATATATATATATATATATCCCTTATATAAACAGTATACATATAACCTACGTTATATATATATATATATATATATATATATATATATATATACGAGGTAGTGAACAGACCTGACTCCGTTTATGCAGGGGCCTATGAGGAATTTTTGGCCGAGCCTATGGGCTCAGATTTCCCCACATGAAATTCGGCCTTGTGCCACATCCTACTTCGTAGGGAGGTCGGTAAATATTACATACCAACATACATACCATTTTCTATCCAGCAAACAATTTTATAAGCATGCCAAACAGATCACGCAATACAACACACACCGTTTAAATCAAAGTCTCTATTGGTTAGAAATTAATATCACTTGTAAAATTTTTCACCAGTCAAAGAAAACTAAAACCCTATTGTCTCGAGCCTACTTTCGGGAAGAGTTTATTATAAAATTCTAGAGATTTCGATTTCCAGAGAGCAGAGATGCGGCTGTCTACAAGGCAAAGCCTAAAGAGTCCCCCGATTCATTGCGTGCTGAAAGAAGCGACTCTGAAGGAGTCATCTCCAACAACAACAGCTGGCATGGTCAGGCGGCGATTCAAAGAAATCATCTCAAATAGCAACAGCAGATATGGTCAGTCGGAGACTTCAAAGGAATCATCTCCAATAGCAACAGAAGATATGGTCAGTCGGCGACTTCAAAGGAATCATCTCCAATAGCAACAGCAGATATGGCCAGTCGGCGACTTCAAAGGAATCAACTCCAATAGCAACAGAAGATATGGTCAGTCAGCGACTTCAAAGGCACCATCTCCAATAGCAACAGCAGATGAGATCAAACGGTGACTTCAAAGGAATATTCTCCAATAGCAACGGAAGATATGGTCAGTCGGCGACTTCAAACGAACTACGAACAGCAGCAACAAAGACGGTCAGTGAATCTTCGCTAACGATAAAAGTCTTTTCTAAACCACAGATTTTGATGTTTTTTTAAAACAACGTCCCAAATAATTTAACTTAATTGAAGTTTATTTCTAATCATTTTTAATTCATAAGGCATACGATCTTTTCTTTATTTTTGTTTTAATTATTTTTTGGAATTCAGACTTTCGGATTTTGAATATAACAAATCCTGAACGACTGGAATTTCTTACAACTGTATTAGTGAAATGTTAATGTTACGTAGCACTTCAGGTCACCTCTTAATTGTTGGACAAAATATTTAGTCTTTCTGCATACGCCTATATATAGAAATTTATTTAGACAGCATTATGCAGCAGTGACATCTCCTATCATTAACACATTCTCTACTAATTAAAACAATGATTCGATGCGCTAAGCTCAGGTTTCCAACCGTAGTATTTCACTATGTTTATTCTATTCCTATATAAGAGTTAACGAAAGACAGAAAATATATGCAACTTGTTAAAATGGAAACGAACTTGATGTGATACTAAGCAAGCACACCTATAACGTAATATAGAACATTTGCCAGCTGCACCTGCTCTCCTGACTTAACTCATAACTTAGGCGGAAAATGATCTCTACGAATGGCTCGGCACTATTTTA